GATGCTTGTTGTATGTTGCGTTGTTGTACATTAAACTTTCAATTAATTCTTAAAATTAAGTCGTCTTATAATCTTTTGGTTAGCAATTTGACAAAACACTAGAAGACTTAAATTTAAGTCGTCCAGAGGACTAGGTAACCATGGACGACTTAACAACACTAGACGACTTAATTATAGGTCGTCTGAACGACTAAACAACACTAGAAGACTTAAATCTAAGTCGTCCAGGGGACTAGGTAACCATGGACGACTAATCAACACTAGACGACTTAACTTTAAGTCGTCCAGAGGACTAGGTAACCATGGACGACTTAACAACACTAGACGACTTAATTATAGGTCGTCTGAACGACTAAACAACACTAGACGACTTAATTGAAGGTCGTCTGGACGACTAATCAACACTAGACGACTTAATTATAGGTCGTCTGAACGACTAATCAACCGGATTCTTACATTGTGGTTTCGTATTGCCAGTTTCCTTGCAGTTTGAGCATCTATAAACCCTGTGGTTCTTCCGGGGTTTGCGTCCTTTCATCCTAGATAGCTCCAACCAAGATTGCCATCTTGATTTCTTCTGGAGGGAAGCATGTGCGTTCTTCAACTTGTTGTCCAGCACAAGGAAATATATTCTCTGAGTATCCTCCAAACAAATACTCCTTTGAGTACACTGGATGTACAAGTGTGGATATATGCAAACCAGCAAATGTACCAGCAGCTATAGCATGAGAACAAGGTATTTTATCCACTTGGTAGACACCACAATCACACTTTCCATGTTCCAAATCAACCACACAGTCCATTTTGCCACCTTTCACAAAGAATCGCCATCCATCAATTGGTTGGGCCCTCATCGTATCTACTATCTCCTCTCGAACAGCAAGCAAGTATTCAACACCCCGACTATGTTGAGTTGGGAGACTCAAAGCATCTTCTCTCCTTTTCCAATACCACTTTCCTAGCTTCTCCCTTATGAACTCCAGCAGAAACTTAATCGGAAATCCTCTAGCTCGCTTCAGTGCAGAATTAATAGATTCAGCGATGTTGCTTGTTTTTATGTT